GAACGTCTTTTCCCCCTCTTCGCCCCCCCCCCATCCCCTCCATCCCTCCCTCAACCCTTCCCTTGTCAGTCCCCCAACCCTCCCCCCTCCCCTCCCCTCTCCCTTCCGTCAGCTGTCTCCCTCGGCTCTTCAGTAATTCGAAATTGTCACTCCAATGTCCTTTTTAATGTGAAAATGTTGACGCGGGGACTTAACATGGGAGGGGAGGGGGGGAGGGGCCAGATGAAGGGGTTATGGGGGTGAGAGAGGGTGGGGGGGGTAAGGGAGGGGATGAGGGTAGGTGTTCTTTTTATCATTCGTGCTTCTTGAGCGAGAGAGAGAGAGAGAGAAAGAGTAATTCCGCCCTTATTTCGTCGTATTAGAAGGTCGATCATCGCTCGTGGGCGAACGTGTGGATTTACGTTTTTAATTCTTATCGTCTCAAGCTTTTTTTTTTGGGGGCGGTTTTTTTTATGTATATATAAATGGCGATGTTTGGAATATGATTGTGCATTTGGTGTTCGCAAACTTTTCATTCTCCTTTTTTATGCAAATCTATTTCCTATTTGTGTATATTTCCTGCCTACGGATTATCTATTTTTCTTTGTCACCTTCTTCTTCTTTTACTACTATTACTACTTATTCCTTTTCTTCTTTTCTTTCTTCTTTTTATCCATCTTCTACACAACTACTACTACTGCTTTCTTCATCATTTTCTTCTTTTTCTTCTCTTTCTTCTACTACTATAATTATTACTTCTTCCTTTCTCCATCTTTTTGTTGTTCTTCTTATCCATCTCCTTCTACTACAACTACTACTGCTTCTTCTTCGTCATTTTCTCTTTTTTTTTTTATTCTTCTCCTTATTCTACTACTACTACAACTATGTTTCCTTCTTCTCCTCCTCCTTCTTCTTCTACAACTACCACTATTATACTTTCTTCTCTTCTTCTCCTTCTTTCTCCTTCTTCTTCTTTCTTCTTCTTCTTTTTCTTCTTCATCTTCTTCTTCTTCTTCTTCTTCTTCTTCTTCTTCTTCTTCTTCTTCTTCTCTTCTCCTCTTCTTCTTCTTCTTCTTCTTCCTTTTCTTCTTCTTCTTCTTCTTTTTCTTCTTCTAACTTTTGGCGGAAATTTGTCACAGGATATTTCGGTTTGACCTTCTCGACTTCTATGAATATTTCTATTGTATTTTTACACTTTTATCTGATGCAATTAACTACATGGACACGTCGAGAGCATGTTTCATAATGTTTCGTTCTCTTCCGCGTGTTTGCGTTTGCTTAGAGATAATATATATATATATTTTTTTTTTTTTTTTTTTTTTTTTTTTTTGTTCTTTTTTGTTCTTTTTACTTTTGTTTGTTCTGTTTACGTTTTTTTTAATGATACATGTGTTTGTTCATTAATTAATCACTTAATCAATGTAGCATCATTATCGTAATTGTTATTATCATTATTATTATCATCACTGTTGTTATTATTGTTGTTATTGTTGATGTTGTTATTAAGATAATGATGATTACATATTATCATAATTATTATCATTATCATCCTCAGTCTCCCCTCCTCCTCCTCCTTCCCCATCACCCTTATCCTCACCGTCCCTCACACTCTCCCTTATCCTCCCCCACCCCTCACCCTTTAATCCCCCTCACCCTCATCATCCTCCCTCTCCCCCTCTCCCCCTCATCCCCTCATCCTCCCCTACCCGCTCACCCTCATAACCCCCCTCACCCTCACACTCACCCTCATCCTCTCCCTCACCCTCATCTTCCCCTACCCGCCACCCTCATCCTCACACTCACCCTCATAATCCCCTCATCCTCATCTTCCCCTACCCGCTCACCCTCATAACCCCCCCTCATCCTCCCCCACCCCTCCCTCACCCTCAAAACCCCCTCACCCTCCCCCTCATCCTCACCTCACCCCCATCACCCCCTCACCCTCATAATCCCCCCTCATCCTCTCCCTCACCCTCACAAGTCCTCCCGCACCAACGCGCTGAAAACCTCCTCCTTCTTCTAGTCTGCATGTCAACGTCCTTCCTCATTTGCATATATCTGTGCTAATGCGGTAGAATCCTGCAAATTTATGAAGGCACGGATATCTTGAGACTGATGTCGTGCACCATTGTAATATAAGTACTCTTGGCGTATAATACTTAAGAGGGTTTTTAATTTTTTTTTTTTGTGTGTGTGTGTGTGTGTGTTTGTGTGTGTGTGTGTGTGTGTGTGTGTGTGTGTGTGTGTGTGTGTGTGTGTGTGTGTGTTGGGGGACACTGAGGAGAGTGTCGTCTTGGGATAGATGTTATTTTTTTTTTATTGTTTGTTTGCGTGTGTGTGTGTTTTCTGTCTTCTCTTTATTTTATATATTTTATTTACTTTCTCTAATATACCATTTTTTCTCGCTTTTTTCTTCTTTCTCGCTTTTTTCTTTTTTCTTTTTTTCGCTTTTTTCCTCCTTTCCTTCTGCTTCTTCCCCACTCTGCTCCTCCACCTCCACCTCCACCTCCATCTCTCCTCCTCCTTCACCACCACCCCCACCCCCACCTCTCCACCTTCCCCCACCCCACCCCACCTCCAACACTCCTCACCCTCCAAAACTGAAATCTTCCCCCTCCACCCCCACCAACCCCGCCAACAGAAAACCACAAATCCCGAATCACAACTCTGATCCCGAATCCCCACTCAGAAACCAATGAGTCGCGGCCAAAACCCACACTCAATCACGGTTATTAATGCTAATTGCTTTGTCATCGAGGTCCCCTAATTGCCGTGGAGTGATGAACAACCTTCCACTGTATGAACTGGTCTTCCTCTATTAGCGGCAATTATGACAATCGCTTGCTCGCCGCTACAACGACCGGAAATAATTTTTATTCGTCCTCTTTGCCATTTATTTCTGCTTTTTTATTATTATTATTATTATTATTATTATTATTATTATTATTATATATTAACTTTATTATTATTATTATTATTATTATCATTATTCATTATTATCATTATGTTGTTGTTGTTGTTGTTGTTGATGTTATTATTATTATTATTATTAATCATTATTATTACATTATTATATTCATTATTATTATTATTATTATTATCATGTTGTTTTCATTTATACTTATTTTCTGGGGTGGGGTGGGTGGGGGGATTTGTGTCATTAGTCTTTCGGTGTCATTAATGACCATTAGTGTTGTTGTCTTCTTTATTATTCTATTTCTATCATTATTTATTGTTTCTGTTCATGTATGTATTTACTTATTATATTAATCGTTCATTGTTTACTTATTATTTTCCTATTCATATCTTTATTATTATTATTACTGTTAATATTATTATCATTATCGTCATTATCGTCATTATCATTATTTACAGAAGTCACCTTTTGCCTTCTTGAATGCCTCCCTCCCTTCCTCCCTCCTCCCCTCTTCCCCCCCCCATCTCTCCTCCCTTCTCCCCTCTCTTTCTCCCTTCCTTCTCTCCCCTCTATCTCTCTCCCTTCCTTCTCATCTCTTATCTCCTCGTTTGTGTCAAGTGCCTTTTTTTTCTTCAAGGATCTTAATTAATTAATTAATTTCTCGTCTTTGTCGGATTTCTTTGTCTTTTTCCATCTCGGCTTATTATTATTTAATAATTATTATTATTATTATTATTTATTATTTTATCATTATTCATTATTATTATTATTTATTATATTATTATTGATTATTATCATTATTATTATTATCATTAGTAGTAGTAGTACTGTTATTTTTAATTATTATTATCGTTTAAGCATTTTAATCAATTATCATTTAATCGTTATTACCATTATTGTTATTATCATTATTGTCGTTATTATTATAATTATTATTGTGTTTGTTTTTTTATCGTTTATCTTTTTTGCAACAGTTCCTTATGTTATCTTTTACTATACGTTTATTTTTCTCCCTTATTTCGCATTCAACTCCACTCCCTCCCTTCTCCCCCCCCCCCCTCCCCCTCTTTCTCCCTTGACACTTTCCTTTCCCTCCACCCCTCCCTCCTTGTCATTTTCATCCTCCCATCCATCTCCTCTTCCTCTCTCCCATTCTCTTCTTCTCCTCCTTCCCATTCCCCTTCTCTTTCCTATCTTCTTCTCCCTCTTCCCTCTCCCCATCCATTCTCATTCTCCTCCCTCACCTCCTTCTCCCTTCTCCCTAATTTGCTTCTTCTTCCTCCTCCTTCTCCCTAATTTGCTTCTTCTTCTTCCTCCTTCTCCCTAATTTGCTTCGTCTCCTCTCCTCTCCCTAATTTGCTTCTTCTTCCTCCTCCTTCTCTCTTGTCTCTCTCTCTTCCTCTCTCCTCGCCTCCCCCATCACCTCTTCCCTCATCACCTCCTCCTTCCCTCCAACCCCACCTTTCCTCACAGAAGTAAACCATCTTCCTCATTAAACGTGAAGGCGAAAGCTCACTCAGGAGGTAGATGGCGCCCCCCCCCCTCCCTCCCCGCTATTCTAAGAACACACAAGCTTAGCCTTGAGTGGTCTTGTCAGGGAAAGTGTTTTTAATTGTACCTGTGTAAGACATCTTCCGGGGTGGCATTCATTCAAGATTCCCCTCACCCCCTCTCCCCCTCCTCTCTCCCCTGCTTCCCTCCACCTTCTTCCCCTCTCTCCCTCCTACTTCCCACTCCCTTCTTTCCCTCCCTGCCTCCATTTTCTTTCCTCTTCTTCTTCTTCCTTCTTCTGCCTCCCCCTTCCCTCAAGTCTGCAATCTCCTTCTGTCTTCCCTTTCCTTCCTTTCTTTCCCTTCCCCTCCTCCTCCTCTTCGCCTGTGTCTTTATCGTCTTGTTCTCGTCTATTTTTTTCTTCTGTCAGAAATGATGCTTCGTCGGTGTTTTCATTGTCTTACTTCATCATTCGAGTTAATTATGATAGTGATATAGCGATGCGGCATCTCGGAAATGAACGTGGGAGATATTTTTACCCTTTTTTTTATCTGTTTGATCCCGGGAAAAGTCCGCAACGAGATCCCTAACCGCCGTTCGTCTCCCTCCGCAGGACCGCCAGGGGAACGTGCTGCACAGCTGGCACATGATGAGCACCGACGAGGAGACGCTGGTGCTGCGTCAGTTCCTGCGCTTCGGCGAGACGCGCGCCATCGCCCAGCAGCTCCTGCAGCACGAGGGGGCGTCGCCGCGCCCCGACCACACGCCCTCCATCCGGGACTCGCACAGGGACACGCTCAGAGACTCTCACAGGGACTCCATGAGGGATTCCCACAGGGATAGCCTGCGAGATTCTCACAGGGACGTCCTGAGGGACACGCACACTCTCAGAGACTCCCACCGGGACGCCTTCCGCGACTCCCACAGGGAAATGCACCGCGACGCCCTCCAGCGCGACGGACACCGGGACGCGAGGGACATGCGCGACAGGGACCTCCTGAGGGACTTCCGGGAGGACATCCGGCGGGAGGAGAGCCGCAGGGACGAGCCGCCCCGCTCGCAGCATCAGCAGCCGCACCTGCACCCCGCGCAGCACCACCCCCATCAGCCGCAGCCGCAGCCGCAGGCGGAGATGGGCAAGAGCATCGACTCCGACCTGAAGAAGTTCCTGGAGCGGACCAACATGCTGTTCAACCCGTTCATGCGCGGCGACCCAAGCTCGCTCCTGCGCCCCCCGCCCCCGACGGGCCCCGCAGGCCTCCCGCCCGCGCCGCCGCCCCTGTCGGCCGCGTCGCTGGCATCCAACCTCTGGCGGCCGCCACCCCTCCCTGGCCACCTCCCTGCTGGCCAACCCGCAGCTGGCGTCGTCGGCGCTGTCCATGCTGCGCCTCCCGGTCCCGCCCGTCTCGCTCCCCAACCTCTCCCCCAACAACGGGTCTCTCCCCAACAGCTTCGGCTCCCCCACTAGTCCCATGGACGGCTCGCCCCTCAACCGCCTGCAGAGCATGCAGCCCTTCGACTTCCGCAAGGAGCCGCAGAGTCCGAGCCCGCGCCTCCGCCGAGCCCTTCCTTCACGCACGCGCGCGGGCGGCGTCACCAGCCCAGCCAGTAGCGGCGGGCGGCGGCAGCGGCGGTGGCAGGCGGCGCCGGTGAGCGTGAGCAGCGGGAGCGTGACGCCCCTGGCCGCCACCGCCACCCACCAGCCCCCGCCGACGCCCGTGTCCGTCAACAGCGACCCTCCGACGGACTACACCAGCGAGGACGACGACATCGCGATCGCCGCCTCCACCACGGCCCTCAACCTCTCCACCACCTCCACCACGGTCGCTACCTCCGCCACCCCGACCACGTTACCCATGCCCCCGAGGCCGCACTCCCCCGGGGGCGGACCCAGCACGCCGGGGAAGAGGTCGTGGAACCCCATCAACCTCGGGACGTCGCTGATCAACCCCGTGACGGGCAAGAAGCGCGTGCAGTGCAACGTCTGCCTCAAGACCTTCTGCGACAAGGGCGCCCTCAAGATCCACTTCTCCGCCGTGCACCTGCGGGAGATGCACAAGTGCACCGTCGAGGGCTGCAACATGATGTTCAGCTCGCGGCGCTCCAGGAACCGCCACTCGGCCAACCCGAACCCCAAGCTGCACACGCCGCACGTGCGCCGCAAGATCTCCCCGCACGACGGACGGACGTCCAGCGGCCACCCGGTCATGATGGCCCACGGGTTCCAGCCGCAGCAGTTCCAGCCGCCCGCCGGCTTCCCTCCCCTGAGCTCCTTCCCCGGGCAGTTCAGCGGGATCAACCCGCTCACCGGCCTGCCCTTCATCCCACCCTCGGCGGCGGCCACAGAGGACCTCCACAAGCAGGCCCTGGAGCTGCAGCGGCGCACGCTGGAGATGCAGCACGCCATGGGCAAGTCCTCCCTGGACCTGAGCATGCGCAGCAGGGAGGACGGCATGTGGAGGACCGACTACGGCGGCTTCCACGGGTCCGTCGGCCATAGCGAGGAGGCCCCCATGGACAGCCCGTCTGGACGGACGCTTCACAGCCTGGATGGCGACATGGACGACGACAGCATGAGCGTCGACGCCCACAGCATGAAGGGGGAGAACCCGTCGGCGTCCCCCCTCCAACAAACAAGCGGAAACGCAAGAGCCAACCCGCCACGAATTCGCCTTCAGATTCGACGGACCACGAGGATCCCGACGACGACGACGACGACGACGACACGACTCACCGGACGGACGAAGGACTCTTGGGGACAAGAGCTCGAAGAGAACGGCAAAAGGAAACCCGGCGACAAGGGAAACGGGCACGCAACCGCAAGGTCTCCTCTCCAGCTACGACGAAGCCGTGGACACGTTGGCACCTGCGAGGACCTGTCCAGGGTCACTTCGCACACCTCACTGGCACGATGCCCCCAAACGCATCGGCGTCACTTGGCCTCCCGATGGCGCCCTCGGCAACGGCGTCACCCTCTTCGAGTCCCAGGCAAGTGACCCCCTGACAGCGATAGGACCTCCACCCCGGCTCGCCCTCGGAGGACTCGGACGGCGCTTCCACTTCGGGCGAGGGCGGCTTCCTCAGCAGCCTCGACATCCCCATGGACAAGGAGAACCCGCGGCGCTGCATAGCGTGCGGGAAGATATTCCAGAACCACTTCGGCGTCAAGACGCCTACCAACGTGCACCTCAAGCTCATGCACAAGTGCACGGTGGGGCTGCAAACGCCGCCTTCCCCTCAAGCGTAGTCGCGCCCGCGCCATTCCTCCAACCTCAACCTGCACAGGAAGCTCCTCTCCACCTCGTCCGACGCGCCAGGCTTCCCCGGCATGGGCTTCCCCGGCCTGCCCTTCAACCCGGCCCTCAACCCCGAGCTGCTGGCGCGCCTCTACTCCGACCCGGCCGGCCTCCCCCTCGGCCTGGACGCGCTCAAGGCCCACATCCCCACCTCCCTGGCCGAGTCCTTATTCAACGGCGACCGCGGCGGCAGCGGCGGCGGCGGCGGAGGCGGCGGGGGCGTGAGCGGGGGCGGCGCGGCCTGCCCCCGGCCACCCACCCTCCCCCCCACTTCTTCCTTCCGAACCTCCTCCCCCACTTCGCCGCCAACAACAACCTTCCCGGGGACGAGCGGAAAGACCGCTCCAGCACCCCGTCCCCCAGTCACCACCCACCACCACCACCGCCCCACCGTCACGGGACCCACCCCCGCCTCCGAGGCCCCCTCCTCCTCGCCGCCGCCCTCCGAGGTCGTCGCCGCGACCACCACCACCACCACGAGCTCCGAGGCCCTCGAGCGGGACTGGGTGTACAACCTGGAGGACGACCTCCCGTCCCCCGACCGCGACGGGAACATGCCCTGCAGGTTCTGTCACAAGGTCTTCGAGGACGGCGTGGGCCTCAAGAGTCACTACGAGGAGGTGCACGCCTCGGAGCTGTTCCGCTGCACGGTGGAAGGCTGCAACAAACTTTTCAGCGCCCGCCGGAAGCGCAACGCCCATTCCCTCAACGAAGCCTATCACAAGGACCTGTTAGAGGGGGCGCCGACGAAGGACACGTGATGACGACGCCCTTCCCAGTCGGGGTGACGGGCTCCCGAGGAGCTCGTCCTCCTCTGTATAAATGTATAAATGTGCCAATGTTTCACGTCTTATTTATACGTAGTGGTGTTAGAGTGCCCAGTGTCGCCCGCGTGTACATAGTAGTGGCTCCAGCTGCCAGGACTTCGGCTGCCTCAGTGTAGAGTAGTGGCTCAACCCTGGCTTGTGTAGTGCGCCGCGCAGAGGCCGTGAGGGACGGCGAGTGCCCGGGGGCCGTACCATGCTCGGGAGTGACCCTCAAGTGTGTCCCAGTGCCGGGAGTGCCACTGACTCTTTAGTGAACAGAAGCGTTAACGGCTCCCCCCCCCCCTTGGGCACGACTATTCCTTGGCAGTGATACCAGTGACGCGTTTGCCGACGCTACCCTTGCGTGTCGGGCCCGAGAGCAGGGGCCGCCGCGCCCGGCTGGGGCCATGAGCCAACTTATCGCTGAAGGACTTAGAGCTGCATTAATGTTCTCAGGATTCTTTGTGAATCGTTTTGCATACCAATCATTGGTATAAAGAGTCAGTGTTCAATTTCCTTGTGTCTTGTATTAACATTTTTCGGTTATAGCTGCTGTAAATGTCAGTTTTATACTGTGACTCAGTCTGTCATTTGTGTAAATGGTGCTATATTTTAGTTGGCACAACCATGTCTCCATTTACGTACAACTTTGGTTAATAAGTTAATTTTGTGTGATTGTAAAGTCGGCGTCTTCCACTATCTTCATTTATGGCGTTTTTTCGAGCTGGCGAGGGATCTCGTTCCTGCAGGAGCCCGCGGGGCCTCTCGCCGCGCTCCTGTAGGAACACCCCGCCCCCCGCGGCAGGAGGCGGCGGGAGGCGCTCGCGAGGCGCCCTGGAGATACCTAGAGGGAGGGCGCCGCCGAAGGGAGCTCGACCTTTGCCCCCTTTAGGTGTTCACGGGACCTCGACGCAAGGGCGCCCGCCGGGGCGAAGCCAGGCCCCTCGGGAGCCGCTTTCCGACGAGAGAAGCGTCCCCAGTCTGCTCCTCGACCTCCCCTGGGAGTCCGGGACGATCTCCGGACAGAGGGCTTGCCTCGGCTCCCCTCCTCTCTCGCGGCGCCCGCGTTGGGGCGACGCCGAGAGAGAGAGAGAGAGAGAGAGAGAGAGAGAGAGAGAGAGAGAGAGAGAGAGAGAGAGAGAGAGAGAGAGAGAGAGAGAGAGGTTCGTTTTCTAACCAGGGAGACAGGGGACGTCCAGCGCCCTCGAGCGCCCTCCCCGTGTCCCTTGGGCGTCCTCTCCGCCCTCGACCTTCGCCCCTTGACCTGTCGCTCTGGAAGAATCGCCGAAGAGTTTCACGCCCTCTCGCCAGCCGCAATTTTTAATTTTTTTTTAATTTACGGATGGTCTCTTTCACCCTCTTTTTACACTAGCGAAGAGATAGAGGTATGACAATCAACAGTGTGAAATTGCCAAAGAGTTTTTTTTTTAATTATTAAAAAAAAAAAGAAATGCCTTCTCTTCACTGAAGTGCAGAACATTCGCGAAGTTTCTCCAGTTCAAAATTGGAGCGTTCGCGAACAAATGGAAACCAACAAAAAATATTCTAAAAATGATTTACAAAAAAAAAAAAATAAAAAAAAAAATAAAAAATACCATAAATAAGCGCCTCTAAACGAGATATACGTGAGGTAGGTAAATCTGTGTACTCTCTCTCTGTAGGGATCTAGCCAACCCTGGTAGCCGTGTAACCGGACAAGATGCAGAACTCCTTCGTTCTTTCTTTGAAAAAAAAAAAAAAATATCGTTAGTCCTTTTAGTCATAATATAAGGTCTTATGTTTTATTTTTTATGAAAGGGTAAGAATTCTTTCATAGTGGATAGACACCCGTATATCTATGACGATTTACGTACACGCGAAATAAGATAAATTATGTGAATCAAGGATGATATATTTAAAAAAAAAATAGTAATAATATAAAGAAACAATTTTTTGAAGAATGATGAATTTCTCGTGACGCCGATGCTCACCACGGTCGGTTTCTACCAAGACGGTCGAAAGTCCCTGAGGAACTAACCTGAGTTTCGGCCATCCTGATCTCTGTGTCTGGTCCGGAGCCTCCTGCTCTTCCTCACTTTATCTAATGACCAGGGGGAACACAGTGCTACTACACGCCCTTCACTTGTTACGCCAATGTCAGATCAGTGTCAAAGAGTGTTTCGTGAATCTAATTTCCCCGCATACACATACGAAAAAAATGAAACTACTACATGAGGGGAAAAATTAACTTATATATATATATATATATTATATAATATATATATATATATATATATATATATATATATATATATTTATGTCATATGTATATATACACACACCGCCCGCATCTAAAACAATGTTCAAAAGAGCGGAATTCTGGAGAAGAAACAATACGATATTTAATGGATAGATAAAAGATAAAAATAAAAAACATCCCCAAATACACAAGACAAATATATGATTCATGAAATGCTCCCCCAAGTTTGGAAAGTAGTTAGAGGTTTGTACACGAGTAACAAGTGAGGGAAAATGGGTCAGCTGTTTCCCCTCCAGTCATCACCACGTCAAATGGCAGTCTGAGTGACCTGGTCAGTTCCTTGACCTGACCTGGGTCGCGGGATTGCCTCAATATTGTAATTAACTCATTATGATAATGACAATTAATAAATTTGTTGTTACCGTCTCGTGCTGATCTAGTTGTAATTGTTAATAAAATAAAATATGGTTATATGTGCATTGACTTTTATTTGTGATCTTAACCTGGGCTGTTTGAGGGGGTAAACAAGGCATTTGTTACATAAGAATGTTTTGAGAATAATTTTCGTAAATATTGTAAAACTTGAACCAGTTATATTGGAAATGATTATCTGATTATTGTGAAATAATCTTTTATGTCCTCTCATAAAAAAAAAAAAACAATAGAAAAAAGATAGGAATTCCACGCAAGAATACTGAATTATTTTAAAATCATATTTCCATATGTGTACAGAAGAGATACACGATGCAGCTGATGATAACAATATTACAAAACAATAAAACATATGATCTACATAACAAAAATAACAAAATAGTGAATATAATGAATAAATAGACATGGGTACATAAAAGCTAAGGGAAATAACGACGATAACCCACAATAAAAATAAATAAATAAATAAACAGTTAAGTATATCAAATAAACTCAAAATATGGAAAATATCGAACAGAAGTAAAATAAATTACCTCATTACCTTATGATGTCATATAGAGAATTATGATAATGATAAAAAAAATATTATGTTTATCCAATTAACAGCGAGTTGGTATGCTGTTAGATACAAGTTTAAAAGCCAATTACAGACACAATATGATATTCGTTGCAATAAAATATCAATAAGATATATAGTTTGAAAAAGAATGATATAAAACGACAGTGACATTGACCAGGGAAAAATACATATATCCCACAGAAAGAATTACATAACAACAGTAGCAAAAATAGAACAGTGAAATTGATAAGCAAGTCGCATGAAGTGAGATTCAGACTCATAAAAATAAAGATAATATCAATAACTAAAAATATGTTTTTTTTCGGTTAGAATATGCTTGGTATTAGATATACAGTACATCCCTGTATATCTGTGACGATTTAGAATGAGAGAAGAATGGGAATAAGATTCAGAATTAGTTAAGGAAACAGAATTGAGATAAAAGTTGAAATGACAACGGATGAGAGTAAGAGAAAATTGACAAGAAGAGGAAGAATTATATTAACCAAAACAAGAATCATTATGACATGATAAAGATTGTGGAAACATCATTATACGAACTACGGGTTTGCTACTTTTATTAACACTACTAATACCACTGATGACTATAAGTGATGCTGAAGATGATCATAATATTTTGGATATGAACAATGACAACAATGATAATAATGAAAAAACACAATAATTTGAATTATTATAACAGAATAGTAATAGCAATTGTAATGATAATAACTATAATGCTAGTGAAATGATAGTAGGAATGAATTATTAAATAAAGTGA